CCCCCCACACACATCCTGATCAGGGCTGGGATCGAACCTGCAACCCAGGTATGTGCCCCTTGACCAGGAATCAAACCTGAGACCCTTTGGTATACTGGCCAATGCTCTCACCACTGAGCCACACAGGTTAGGGCAGGATGATTTTTAATATAAATCTGTCCCATACAACATTTACACTGACAATGTATTTGCTGTTTATCTGAGATTCAAACTGGTCTGAGTATTTTGTCTGGCAACCTTGCCCAAGGGAATTGGGTGCTTCCTGCCACTGTACTGAGCCCCTGGCCTGTCCTGGGCCCTGCCTGGCCACCATCATGGTTGGGGGACCTGGTGTGACCCTGCGGAGCCTGTGTGCCCCAGGGAGTTGTCCTTACACACTTGGCCCAGTTACAATTGGGGTCAAATAGAAGAAACTTGCTGGCCGGAGGCAGGATTAGAATGAAAACCAGCCCCTTCTAGCAGGGGAGAAAGTCCCCCTTTGTGGTTCCTGAAGGCCCTTCACCCTCCTGTCCTGGTCACTGGTCCCCTCTGGGAACCCTGGTCACCTAGAAGCCAAGGGTGGGACTATGTTAGCCTGTCAACACACCAGAGGCCCGTGCTGGGGGTCATACTGCCTGCTCTCAAGGTGAGTGCGTTTGGGGCAGGGGCACAGGTCCTTCCAGGCTCATGGATTCCCAGGAGCCGTGTGGACAGAGGTGGGAGCACGTCCCCATTCCCATCTGAGTCCCCGTGGTGGAGGGTGAGCCCTCTGGGGAGGGTCTCTGTTCTTTGTACATCACTTCTGGGGTGGGGTGATGAAGGCAGGTCCTGGAAGGGCCAAGCCCACAAGTCTGAAGCCTGGCAGGGCTCCTGGCCTTGCTGCACCAGGGTACCTGCTCAGGATGGGTTCCACAGGGCGAGGAACTGGAAGGACAGTGGCTGAAATCTGGGACCTTGGTCTGGTGGGGCATGCAGTAGCTCCCAATGGCCATGAGGGGGCACCACACTTCTAGGATTTCCCCACTGACCTCCGGGTTGGGGCTCCCCTGCCTCCAGCAGGCTACAAGCGGCAGGGGTGTGCAGGGATTCCACCTCCTGTTCCTGCAGCGGCCCACACTCAGCAGGAGGGGCTTCTGGGGGACGGTGGGTCTTGGCCACACCTGGGGCCTGGGACACAGAGTCAGGCAGGATGTGCTCTCTTATTTGGAGGGGAAACTGGGGGCGGGGGGCAGAGCCCCTGCGTGACACTCTGGGCTGTGGGCCTCAGGCCCTCAAAGTGTCAAATGTCGTCGAGGTTGCATCTGTGGATGCTGGAAATGAAAACAGATACTTAAAACCAGACTGCAGTGTGATGATTGTGGGGGGAGGGGTGTGGGTAGAGGTGGAAGAGGGGATGGGGGGTAAATGATGATGGAAAAAATAAAGAGAAAAAAGGAAAAAACCAAAATAACATGTCACCACAAAGAAAAATAATAAAACAAGAATGCATAACACACTGTCATCACACATTGTGGGAAAAAGCTGCACGAGACAGAAAGGAGTGAAGAAAGGTGCTCTGGTGTTATTGCAAAAGCAGTTCTGACTTCGAGAGCCTTCTGGAAGGTTCTGGGGACCCAGGGTGCTGACATTGGCAGGAGTGCCTGAGTCCTGGCTCCACCCACCTCACTGAGGACAGGGCAGGTGGCACCTGACAGGCCGTGGGAAGGGCTGGATGGTCGCTGTGGTCAGGCGCTCTTGGGTGCAGTGCTGTTCGGCCCTAGGAGTGGCTGTTGGAGTCAGAGCTGAGGCCAGGGGCAGGGGTAAGACGCAGGGACAAACTTGGAGTGTGGAGGGAGCTGGGGGCCCTTTCCCTCTGCAGGCAGGCAGGCAGGCAGGCAGGCAGGCAGGCAGGCAGGCAGGCAGGGGGGCAGGGGAACTGGGTAGGTAAGGGTGGTCTGAGCTTAGGGAACCCTGTGGGCAGCTGGACAGGGCAGTGGGTGGGTGAGGGGAGCACTACAGCCTGGACAGTGTGCCCTGAGGTGGGGGTGGTGAGCCTCGGGGCTGCAGCCCAAGTTGGGGACATGGGTGCTCACATCAGCTTGGATGCCTGGGCTGCTGAGGGGGACGCAGGGACCCAGAGAGGAGCCTGTAAGGCTGGTGCCTGAGCCCTGAAACAGTCTCAGGGCAGGTGCTTCCACCCTCCACTGGGCTGGTGAATAATTTAGAGCAGGATCCACCAGGACCCCACTGGCAGCTTCAATCTGCACTTTGGGAGTATCTGAAAAATTCATGAACTGTTGAGGCTTCGGGGTCCTGCTGAGCTGGCTGAATCTGATCTGTCTCCTGCCCTTGTCTCCCCAGGGCACCTGATGCCCTCTCCTCCAGGCAGGAAGCACCTTCCTGCCCTCCCCTAGCTGCAGGGTGGCCCTGGCGGTGACAGCCCAGTTTCCTAACAGAGGTTTCACGCCCCAGTGATCTGAACCCAGGGCTTTGTCACTGGGGAATGGCAATCCTTGTCACCTGGTAACTGGGCTTGTCTCTTGCTGGGTGCTCATGGGTGTGCTGAATGACATGCATGCCTCTGGTGTGTGAGCTCAGCCATGTGCTCCTGTGTGAGTGTGGCCTGGGTATGGGCTGTGCAGATCTGTGTGGGGTGTGGAGTGGAGTGGAGCCCTCGGGAGCTGGGGTAGTGAGTGCTTGTGCATGTGTGTGTGCATGTTATGTGTTCACGGGTATGCATGTGTGTATGCACATGGGTTTGGATCCATGTGTGTGCATGCTAGAAAGAGAGCATATCTGCCTGGGTGTGTGTGCATGTGAGCATGTGTCTCAACTCTACCTGCGCTGTTGGCTGGCAGCCTGGAGTCAGAGCTGAGCCCCTGGGAGGTGCTGGGCAGCTGTCCTTGTCCTATAGCCATGAGGGGGAGGCTGGCTGGGGCAACTGGACTGTCAGAGGTGTGAGCTGTGGGGTGGGCCAAAGAGGAAGGAAGGAAGGCATCTGGAGGTCTGGAGGAGCTTCTGGAGCTGGCTCCTTCCCAGGATTCATGTGCCACTTCTGGTATCTCATCATGGGACTTGGCTGGGGAGGAGGTGGAGCAGAGCCTGAGGCAGTCGGTATGCCCATTGAGATGGCATGAATGGCCCACCTGCGGTAACTGCCACCATGGAGGTCAGATCAGCTCAGCACACTAGGGTCTGGGACTAGACAGGGACC